GTGCTGCACGTCCCCGCAGCTGCATGTCCCCGGTGCTGCACATCCCTGGGTGCTGCATGACCCCGGTGCTGGACATCCCTGGGTGCTGCATGACCCTGGTGCTGCACATCCCTGGGTGCCGCACGTCCCCGCAGCTGCATGTCCCCAGTGCTGCACATCCCTGGGTGCTGCATGACCCCGGTGCTGGACATCCCTGGGTGCTGCACGTCCCCGCAGCTGCATGTCCCTGGTGCTGCACATCCCTGGGTGCTGCACGTCCCCGCAGCTGCATGTCCCTGGTGCTGCACATCCCTGGGTGCTGCACGTCCCCGCAGCTGCATGTCCCTGGTGCTGCACATCCCTGGGTGCTGCACGTCCCCGCAGCTGCATGTCCCTGGTGCTGCACATCCCTGGGTGCTGCACGTCCCCGCAGCTGCATGTCCCTGGTGCTGCACATCCCTGGGTGCTGCACGTCCCCGCAGCTGCATGTCCCTGGTGCTGCACATCCCTGGGTGCTGCACGTCCCCGCAGCTGCATGTCCCTGGTGCTGCACATCCCTGGGTGCTGCACGTCCCCGCAGCTGCATGTCCCTGGTGCTGCACATCCCTGGGTGCTGCACGTCCCCGCAGCTGCATGTCCCTGGTGCTGCACATCCCTGGGTGCTGCACGTCCCCGCAGCTGCATGTCCCTGGTGCTGCACATCCCTGGGTGCTGCACGTCCCCGCAGCTGCATGTCCCTGGTGCTGCACATCCCTGGGTGCTGCACGTCCCCGCAGCTGCATGTCCCTGGTGCTGCACATCCCTGGGTGCTGCATGTCCTCAGTGGTGCTGGGGGATGCAGGAGCCGCCTCCACTGCTCGGAGCCGCATCCTGGCCTCCGGCCCGCAGGCGCCTTGGGTCTTCGTGGAGGAACGGCGGTGAATGCTCCACCGCGTGCATCACAGCCCGCGGGGTTGGAGACATTAGCGGACAGGATTGTTTTCCACCATCTGTTTGGCTTGGTTGGAGGCAGCTCCTAGCACAGGGCAGATGGAAGCGGCAGCTACTGCAGCTCTGCTGCTATTTATGATGTCAGGAAGAAAACGGGGCTAAAAACAACACAAAGAAGCAACTCAGAAGTGGCTGGGGGGATCCCAGTCTGCAGCTGCTTGTGCTAACCACTAGGCCAACCTCCCTTGCCAGATGCACGGGGCAGAGGCCCTGCAAGAGCCCAGGCGTCCGGGTTCCCCGTCCCTCATTTGCCTGCAGAGCTTGGGGGGCCGGAGGGGGACCATAAGGACCCAGGGCAAAGC